TTTGAGGACTAAAGTGTGCCTGAGCCAAGCCAAAGTATTTTCAATAGCTTCATAGGCAATTGAAAGTTTGACAATGAATAAGGAAAACCACTGAAGAATTGATCCATTTGAGTTATGATATTGGAGACAAATATTAAAAGCACCATGGACTACCAGAAAAACAAAACTGTGTTGGAAGTAGAAGCCAGAATAGTGAGACTTTGTCTCTCATACTTCAGACATACTATCTGGAGAGACCAGTCCCTGGAAAAGGACATCATGCTTGGTAAAGTAGAGGGTCAGGGAAAAAGAGGAAGACCCAAAACAAGATATATTTGCAAAGTGAAAGCAACAAGGGACTCAAGTGTGACAAAATTATAAGGATGACACAGGATCAGGCAGTGTTTTGTCCTGTTGTGCATAGGGCCGCTATGAATTGGAGCTGACTCGATAGCACTTAACAACAACAACAAGAACATATTAACCAAAATACTGTATGTAGAGAACCTTATTTGGATCCAGATTTGAAAAAAAACAATTATAAAAAGACATCTTCTATACAGTCAAAAAAATTTTAAATATATGTAATTTAAAAGAATTATTGGGAAAACAAACAAGATGGCGGATCAGGTGTAGTAAAGAGCTCCAACAACAACAACAACACAGAATACCCAACCAAGCAGGCTCAGGGGCTGGTCCCAGAACTCTGAACCACATATAAAGGAATATTTAGAAGGTTGGAAGGCTCACAGCTGGGGGAATTTGTGGCAGAAGCAAGAAATCTATTGATTTCTAATCCGGGACACTTGGCTGCTCCAGGAGCCGCCATCTTGGGCGAGACCACGTGGAGGAAGGATCAGAGTGGCCACAGATGCCTGGCAGAACCACTGAGATAAAGGTGTGGACATGCTTTTCTTTTGGTATCTGTTGATTGGTCACTTGCTGTCTGCGCACCTCCATTCGGATGACTATAGGGGTGCCTGAGCTGGTGGGCAGCCCAGCCCCACCCTTGGAGGGTTCTACTACGCATGCGCACAGATCTCCTCGAAATTTAAAGAGACAGTTTCCAATTAAAACCAAATGGCCACAGCCGGCCCTGAACTGTTACAACTAGAAAAAAAG